TATTAAAATTCTGAATAAACTTAAAAAGAATAAAACGGCTGTATATGGACACTCAAATAAAAAAGATAGGGGAAGGTTATAATCACAAGTAAAAATATACAAATCGCAGAATACAATTAATGAGATTAGAGATCTGCTTCGTAGCTCTCATAAATTTCTTGCATTATACAATCTTTTTTTTTTTAATGATATACTGGACGATTTTTTTCTAAACCGCCCTATTAACAATACACGGTTAGTCCGTTTTCCTTTGATATCTTGAAAATTTATAATATTTTAATTATTTCATTTTTAAATTTGTACCAAACATGTTTTGCTAATTAATAAACTTCGCAGTGGTTGCTTAATACTTTTAAAATCGACAAATTCAATTCATTTGTTATATCCAAATGCTTTTTTCCTGTCACTAGTATCTAAATAAAAGCTGAGCGTCTTTTTGTACTCATAAAATAATATGTCCGGATGGAGCAAGAATCATTGGCATAAAGATATGCAGAAAATAAAGAACAACTTCAGATATTAATGAACATACAGTAAAACCTCTGCAAGCGACCACTCCTATAAATTGACTACCTGTGTATAACGACCCATTCTCAATTCCTCGAATTGAGAAATGGAAATCCCCGTTCTTTCATCGAAATTTTCTAGTACTCGTTAATGATACAAACACCCTTAATAAAGAGCAATAAAATTCGACCATTCCTAAGAACTGTAAATAGGGTAAAAATGGTAGGCAGATACATTTACTTCTTGCGCTTCTAACATCTGGTTTTAACATTCAGTTCAATTTTGTTAGTGTTGTTTTGTAACTAACGAATATGAGATTTAGAAACCCTTTTTATTAAGGTGTTATAGAGTCTTTTATTTTCAATAAATCGATTAATTTCATTATTATTATGAAAGTATAGTAAATGAAGAGTATTTACACCAAATTTGAAACAAGTTCGGACAATATTACCGGAGCTATAGAGATTTGAATACCGCGCGGTACTTACTAAAACAGGTACGCGGTATCGCAGTACTGTACATTTTAAAAACTTCAAACGCGTTATTTTTAGAACCAATCGACCGATTTTGCTGAAACGTTGTACAGTTCATCTTTATAGTATTGTTTTGAGATTTCAAAGGAATTGTAAAATAAAATGAAATTGAAAGTTTTGAAGTAAACAGTATTTACACCAAACTTGAAGTAAGTTCGGGCAATATTACCAAAGTTATAGATTTGAATACTTGTTTGAATGTACTTACTAAAACAGATACGCGGTATACGCAGTATTGTACAGTTTAAAAACTTCAAACGAGTTAGTTTTGGAACCAATCGACCGATTTTTCTGAAACTTTGCACAATTCATCTTTATAGTATCGTTCGTTTCGCGATTTTGAAGGAATTGTAAAAAAAGGAATTGAAAGTTTCGAAATAAACAGTATTTACACCAAATTTGAAGTAAGTTCCAGCAATATTACTGGAGTGATAGAGATTTGAATACCGCGAGGTACTTATTAAAATAGGTACCCGGTACTGTACAATTTAGAAACTTCAAACGCGTTTTTTTTTAGAACAAATCGACCGATTTTGCCGAGACTTTGCACAGTTCAACTTTATAGTACCGTTTCGAGATTTCGAAGAAATTAAAAAAAAATGAAGATGAGAGTTTTGAAATAAGTTTAAATGAATTTTCGTCTTACATCTTTTAGCATTTTTCAGATTCTCATCGTTTTTAAAACATGTTTTCGTATAAAAACAAGAACAAGTCGATTTATTGAAAATCCCTTTGTTCAATCATGAAACAATACAATAAAGCTAAAGTGCCCAAAATTTCAGCAAAATTAATCGATTCGTTTTCGAGAAAAACGCGTTTGAAATTTTTAAACTGAGAGCGCAAATACCGATAGCGCGGTATTCAAATCTATATCCAAACTCCGGTAATAATGCTCGAATTTACTTCAAATTTGGTGTGAATACTCTTGATGTACTATATTTTCATATGGAATCAAAAATAAATAAACTTTTCTAAAACATAAGCCTATGTAAGCTCTCAATGAGAACAATTTTGACAATTCCACAACTATTTCGAAGCTGTTAATAAAAATTATATTTTCCTATGTTCTCTTTTAAACGACCACTCCTCTTTAGCGACCAGCTTTAGATTTCGCGAGGGTGGTCGCTATTGGAAGGTTTTACTGCACTCACAGAATGGGTTGGAAATTAATACCATAAAAACAAAAACGTTAGTTTTCAGCCGAGATTTACAAACCCATAAGAATCTAAGATACCATCACCGTCTAGAATGATAAAAAAACACATTTACAATATTTTTTTTATATCCTATCTAATATATATGGCAATAAAACTTTTTTTTATATTATACAACCTTGAAAATTACAAAAAAATTTTTTTCATTGTGCCTGTATTTTAAAGATGGCGCCAACAACTTTTCGTCCAAAAATTACTACTTCTTTCGGGTTAATCTCTGAAACAACAAATCTGAAATATAAAGTTTGAGAAGGGTTTTTAAAAAAAAGTGCCCTTACGTCATAGTTTGGCAGAAACATTAAGATTCTTAAAAAAAACAAAATGGCAGATCTTTGAAAATCAATTAAATTTTTCTCAAAAATCTTTAATCTCCGCATCTAGTCTGTCGATTTTGAAAAACCATAATGCATTTTGTTTGTTTCGGCTTTTACTACGATAAATTACCATGATTTAACCAAACAAAAAAATAATAAGAATAAAATTTTTGTGAATGAAAAAGCCGAAAAAAGCTCAATTTTTTTAAATGTCATTTTGTTTTTTTCTCCAATCTCTCTGGTAAACTATCACGGAAGAACAATTATTTTTTAAAACCGTTCTAGAATTTTATGTTTTAAGAAATTGTTCCAGCCCCAAATCCACGACCTCATCGTCGAGGTTGTTGTTTTTACTGTAGTAGACAAAACATAGACCAACCAGATATACCTGTCAAAAATGACAAAAATTTGTATGCTTGGAACATGCAAAATACATTTGCACCGACTGCCTAAAGGATGCATCTCAAACACTTGTTTTTTATTTAGTTTGTTAGAAATAGTTGTTTTGTATTTGTTTATTTTGGGTTTTTGTGTTTTATAGTAATAAAAATGTGAAAAAGATATATCTGTTAACTTTTATTTTCAAAGCATGAGTTTAAATACTTCTTCTTCTTCTTCCTTCTAGTATGTAGGCTTTAAAGCCTGTTTCTTCTTCAATATTAGCCCCCTAAATTGTTTAAATTGTCGCACCATCTTTTTCTTGGTCTGCCAATACTTTTTCGTCCATTTGGTGACTTATCTCGTGCTATTCGTACTATTCTATCCTCTGCCATTCTACTGATATGTTCGTTCCGTTTTCGTTTTGTCAACCATCCATTTATGTCTTCTATATTGCATGCTCTTCTTATATTTTCGCTTCTCTCCCTATCCAATAGACTCCTCCCTGATATTCGTCGGAGTATTTTAATCTTGTTGTTTCTAGCAGTCGTCTCGTTTTAGATGTGTCAGGTCTTGTCTCCGCCGTGTATGTTAATATAGGTCTAATTGCTGCTTTATAGATTCTTGTTTTTGTGTCTTGTCTTAGGTGTTTGTTCTTCCAGATTGTGTCATTAAGAGAACCCGCCGCTTTACTTGCTTTTAAGCTTTGTTGTCGTACTTCTTTAACATCTCCGTAACTAGTTATATCTATTCCCAAATATTTAAACCTTGCTTCCTGCTTTATTATTTTCCCATCAATTTCGATTTTACATCGTACTGGGTATTTAGATGTTGTCATACATTTGGTTTTTTTTGCTGATATTATCATATTGTATTTCTTAGCTGTTGTATTGAAGATATGTGTTAATATTTGGAGCACGTCTTTTGTCTCGACGATTAATGCGGCATCGTCTGTATAACATAATATTTGGATTTCTTTGTTCCCCATTCTGTAGCAATGACCTTTACGTACTGCTTGTATTCTTTCGTCCATTATTATATTAAAGAGAAGTGGGCTCAAAGAGTCACCCTGTTTGACTCCGCTTTGGTGGGTGGATTGAGTAGCTCAGAAGTCGTGTTCATGCCCACAGCCGGTCCCAAGCACGGATAAAAGAGGAGGATTGATGGCCAGGTTAGCATCCTACCCATTGTAAAAGGAAACAAGGCTCAAAGAACCGATATTAATCCTCGGAACCAGAAGGAACCTAAGATGAGTTTAAATACAAGTTATAATACATTTGTGAGCAAATTGTTTTTTTTGTCTATTTTAATTATATATTTAAAGAATCGACAATTTCTCAGAACGTTTTTTCGAAAATATTTTTTTTTGAACCTTTTCTAGATGTTCATGTAAAGTTATCCCTGAAAGCTTAAGATACACGAACAATGAAAAAAAAAACAGAAAAAATTTTGTAATCTTCAAAAGTTGTATAATAATATAAAAGAAATTTAATTGCCATAATAAATAAGATACAAAAAAAATTGTTGAAAGTGAGCCATTTTTTACTATTTTACCTAGACGGTAATAGTCTTAGACGGTAGTACCTTAAATAGAAAAATTAATTGTGTATACAATTGAAAATTTTACCAATTTATTTAGGTATCCCATTAAAAACTTTTGATTTTTATTTAGTCTTAATTCAATTAAGTGTTTTAGTCATGACGATACAAACGCTTTTAGTTATTTCACTTTTGTCACAGAACATCGACAGCGTTCATTTTATCATTGTAATTGTGTGTGCTGTTTTTAAATTAAAATACTGAATATTGTTGATGCGTTACGTGACATACGACAGCATCGAATAGACATACGAGCATAGAACGGATGACAGGTGACGTTAGACTCGCCATTTTATAAAAAGGTGTGACTTACCAATGCCATAAACAGAGACAAACATTGTTTCTTACACCAAGACATCGACTTTTATTTTGTATAAATAAATTTTTAAAAATCTGATAAAAACTGATTTCGAATCATTCTAAATAAAATTACTATTTCAACGATTTTTTTTTTTCTAATAGCGTTTAATGATTTCCCAAGCGGTATTTAGTTCTGAATTGCACCGATAAACATTCTGTTATAATATTTCCAGTTTAAATGTTGGGGGAAGGAGGGGGTGGGGTGTTCACAGTAGAAATAACTCGTCGAGTCCAATATCTCCGTACACTACGTAAAATAATATAAAAAATAAGAATTAGGCATCTTACTCGTTCGACCTAACCAACTAAATATTTTTGTACACTTTGTTTTAATAATTTACACAAGTTCTCTCTTTTATATTCACAATTCTTCACAAAATTGTTCATGTACTCCAGTCACTTTTTTTACGTTTAGGTCACCTGTGCGTCGATCCGTCGTTCATATCGAACAGAATTTGTGCTATCGTCCTCGAAGATTCGACGTTACTCAGCGCTACGTTTGCTAAGTGGGATTCGTACGATTTTAAGTACCTGTAACATACAAAAAATATTTAAAAATAATTAAAAAAAAATTTAACAAATATCTATAGACCTTAATACATATTTGCAAAATGCTTTTTGTTGCATACGAGGTCTGGCTATTAAATAACGAGACTGCACGCACAGAAGGCGTCCTAGAGACAAGTAAGCAGCACATTGGGACGCAGGTGGCGCAGTGCAGGGCAGGCTACACAGGTCAGAAAATATACGTGAGAAAGAAAGAGAATTTTATAATTTAAATAATGGCGTTATTTCTGGACAGTTCCGAATCAGAGTCCGACACAGAATTTGAAGAAACAATTTTATTATTCAACATGTCAAAGAGAAAAAAATCATTTTGGAAAAGCAACTATACGAAAAAGAGAAATACTCATGGGGAATTTGCACTATCATCAGAATTCTCTGAATCTCGTTATTTAAATTATTTTCGGTTAAGCAGAAAACAAGTTGATGAAGTACATAATATAATAGAAAACAGTATTTATTCAGATGGTTGTAATGCCCAAAAACCAATAGGAACCAAACAAAAACTAGCTGTTTTTTTAAGGTATTATTTTTATTAATTTTTGTTTTATTAAAAAATTACAAAAATATCATTTTAAACAATCATAATTTTATACTCTATAATTTTCCACAAAATTTCGAATATTACCGGTATCAACGGTTTGAGGAGATGTCTCAGGAGACAACCTGGGGGTGAGTGTAGTAGATGAATAATTACTGGTGCTTCTAAAGTTGTATTCATTTGAGCATAAAAAAACAGTTGTTGGGAATAGGAGCTAGAGGATTATTACAATGTTAATTCTCAGTATGCTGGCTACTGTGACTGGAATTTTGTGATGGAAGAGGTGTTGACGAGTAATGGGGCTGCTGAATATGGGTATTAACATATGCACTTGTAAAAACTCTTTGTTCGTTTTTGTTGTAGATATGCAGCTTCGAGCTGCAATATAGCTTGGAACACATAATTTCTTGCACGATGTTGAAATTTAGGAGGCATTTTTTTGGTTATTTTGTACATCGACATATAAAAATGATAGAGGCTCATCATAGAGATCATTATCCAAAGGCTTCTGTGCTGCCCTTTCAACTGCTCTTTCTTCGGCCCTTTTTTGACGTTGCATAATTGACTGCTTTATCACTTCCTGTATATCATCATTTTTAGGTTTCTTATTTTTAGCTACTTTGGTTGTGATTGATTGGTCTTCTGTTGCCTTACGTTTGGTATTTTCGTTTTCGTTATTTTTTTGTATAACAATACCAGACGTAGACGGCTCATTACAATGTCATTTTTAACACTCTCGATTTCTTTGGTATCATGTCGAATGTCGCTGGTCATCTCGTCAAAAATTTCACTCTCTGGATCAACTATGGAGTCTTCCTGTTGTGGGTCTTCATCTTCTTGTAAATTACTTATTTAATTTAAATAATTGGGATCGTTGATATCGTAAAGAATTCTCTGGCTTCTCACCAATTCGATTAATTGTTCATTCATTTCGAATATAACCACACACAATTTTACTAGAAACAAACAAACTGCTCTGCACGTGGCACAAGAATCTGTGTCCGGACGACTGCGCTGGCAGGTTTTCCTAAACACAGTTCTGTGCTGCCCTGTCCTGCGTTCCAATTCGCGCGGGGTAATGTAATTGTACGGAAAACAGAAACCTGTGCTGTCCTACGCTGCGTTGCCTGCGTCACCTGCGTCTGAATGTGCGGCGCGCCTAAGAGTGGGAAACGAATGCAGCATTGGATAGCTGGAAATGTCTACTCTTCCAGTACGAAAACACGTTTTTGTCGCTGTAGTATTTTTTCTGTAGAGGTTAGAAAAGAACGTGTTTTTTTTTCTCGTGCCGATAACAATGTGTGACTAAGTATGAGCAACGAATTAATGTGAAATTTCTCGTTAAATTAAAAAAAAAACTCCGGCTGAGTGCTATAATTTATTGAAAGAGGCCTATGGTGAGAATTCTCTATCTCGTGCGCGTGTTTTTCGAATGGTATAAACGGTTTTGTGAAAGGTCCAGGTCGACCTGTCTCTATTTCAACTCCGCAAACAGTGACCAAAATAAATGAAATTGTGCGCAGAGATCGTCATATGGGCATTCGGATGATTGCCGAGATTGTAAACTCCGATAAAGAAACTGTCAGAAAAATTTTACATGACGAATTTAACATGAAGAAAGTCTGTGCGAAGTTGGTCCCAAAAAATTTGACCCCTGACCAAAAGCTCGTCCGTCAACAGATCTGCTCAGATTTTCTTAAGAGGTTACATAAAGAGCCTGAATTAATGGAAAACATTATCACTTGCGATGAAACCTGGATATTCAAGTACGATGTTAAAACTAAGCGACAATCAATGCACAAAACTCCTGCATCGCGAAGAATGAACAAACAAGGATGTCGAAATCAAAATTTAACGCCATGTTATTCGTTTTTTCGACATTAATGGCATCGTGATGACTGACAGGTTCCAGAGGGTCAAACTGTAAACCAATCTTACTATTTAAACGATTTGGCAACGCTGCGAAAGCGAGTTCGTAAAAAACGGCCGGAGTTGTGGAAAACCAAGCCGTGGATTTTGCACCAGGACAACGCACCTGCCCATAATGCGCTGTCTGTGAAGAGTTATTTAGCCGCTAGAGTCATTCCAGTGCTCGAACACCCGCCGTACTCGGTTGATTCAGCACCCTGTGACTTTTTCCTGTTTCTGAAGATTAAGTAAAATCCGGTTCGAGTCGACGGAAGAGGTGAAGCGAAAAACGACGGAGGTCCTAACAGCTCTACCAAAAGAAGACTTCCACCATTGCTTTGACCTATGGAAAAAAACAAATGGAACGGTGTGTGGCGAGCATCGAGCAAAAAGACAAAAGAGGGAATGTAAAGGTAGTGGGGGCAAAATATTGTTAGACAGGAAGTGCGATCTTTAGAGGCCACATTAAACAAGGAAAGAGAGTCTCTCTCCTTGTTTGACATCAAATTTAGTTGGGTTATGTTATTGTTTGTCCCAAATGCCACATGAAATCCTATTTATATTGAAGTTTTTTAACAATTGTGTCGCAATTTAGACTATTATCGTTAATAATTAATTAAAATTTTCTCGTCTAAGACACATTCTGAAAAATATTATATAGCTACTGTTAATAACTGTCGGAAAATTTTAATTTGGCGCATTCGCATTTCCGGATATGTCCGCCATCAGAGGCCACTTTTTTGGTCTCCTTTTCATAAGGATTAGATTCCCTCTTTTGTCTTTTTGCTCGATGGTGGCGAGAGAAGGGGAATATATTGAAGGAGAGCATTTGACTGTAGAATAATTTTTAAAATAAAATTCTTTTTCGTAGACAGTCTCGTTATTGAATAGCCAGACCTCGTATTTGGCTTATTTTGCATAAATTTCATATTTTTACAAGAAATTGCATATATCTGCATAAATTTACATAAAAAATGTATAATGCCAATATTTCTGAATCTGTCGACATTTTCTGGAAATTGTTCATTCAAATTCCCCAAGAAATAAAACCTTTGTTCCTTTAAATCTTTTTGAGCGTACCTGCTATTGTAGTAAGAGGTTTTAGGTAAAAAATTAACAACCCAACAACTGAAACATACATAAACACTTTCAGTGGGAAGAGTTTTTTGTCTTTATCGCGATTGTTATATCCAATTATGCTTGGTCAATATATTCGAATCGTATGGTTTCACAATGCACTTTAATTCTCCTACAAGAATTACCAAAACAACATCTACCATAATTGATTATATTGTCTCAGATTTCTTACCCCTTCATGTACGCTCTACAATTATTAATGCAGGACTATCTGATGATGAACCAAGTTTACAAACAATCAAGAACCCAGCGTTTAGGTAGGATTTTTTCCGCTCAGAACTTTCCTAAATTCCAAAATTTGTGCTTGACTCATGGGTGGCACATTTCCTCTGTGAACGTGGACTAACATTTCACTGATCTTTTAGATAGGCTTGTCTGTATTTTCAATAAGGCATTTCCTTTAATTACAATTAAGCCAAAACATCACAAACCCTGGACTACTAAAGGTATCAGCATATCAGCCAAGAATATGCGTTCACTGCATCAAGAAAGTTACTACCAACGTCTTTGTCACTGAATATATCTGCAAGTACAGAGGAACCGATCTAAAACTTATCAAAACAGCTAAAAAAATGTACTATCAGAATCGTCTGGGAAGCTCTAAAAATTTTGCAAGGGAAACTTGGTCCATAATAAACAATCTTCGAAATAAATACCTCCCCAATTCAAAAAAGGTCTCGAATTCATTCTTTATAAGACCAGTTAATAAATCTGGACTGATCCAAATAACCAGTAGTATTAAAAGCAAATTTTCCTGTAGTACTAATGGACTATCCATAAAAATTTCTGGTCTCACTAATTAACAATTCCTTTGAAAAAGGTATATTTCCAAAGTGCCTAAATACACCTATTATTATTCCTCTTCATACGGGTGGTGAAAAATCGAATGTCTGCAACTATAGACCTATTGCCTTACTACCGGTCCTATCAAAAATATTGAGAGACATAAAAGTCCGACTGATGTCCTTTCTCGTTGAAAACAACATTTTATCACAAAGTCAGTTCGGCTTTTTATCTAATAAATGTACCAGTGATGCTATGTTTTCTGTACTACATGAGGTCTATCAAACACTAAACAATAATCTTTACACTGCCACTGCTTTTTGTGACTACGCCAAGGCTTTTGATTGTGTAAATCACGACATTTTGATAAAAAAACTAAACAATAAACTCTAGTCATAAAAGCATTGTATGTGGAGTACCATAAGGTTCAGTATTGAGTCCTCTACTTTTCCTTATCTTTATAAATGACACCACTAACTTAAAAATCGATGGAAAATTTTTTCTTTTTGCTGAAGATACCAGTATCACCTGGAGGAACTCTAATATTGCAACTCTTCATGCAACTATAACTTTCATACTATTTAACTATTTATCTACTTATCTATTTATATAAACCTTATCAGACTCTAATTTATTCTCTTTTAACGTGGATAAGACAGTAGCATTATCCTATAAAGGAGCTCTTCAACTCTTGTTTCTTAATAACAACCAGATCAGTATTTTTTTCTCCTAGCTTAATGGTACTGGCAAAAAAAAATACTGATGTGTATCATTGATTCTTAAAAATTTCTTGGAATTTTTTTTAACAGCAACCTTAAATGGTCCCTACATATCGATTTGTTAAGTAAGAAACTAGCCTCAGCCTGCTATGCAATAAGATCTGTTTCGAAGGAAATTTTGAGTCTCATCTTCGATATGACCTTCCTTTTTGGGGTTCTAGTACAGCTGCCCAATCTGATGTTATTTTTAAATTACACAAAAGAGCAATATGGTATTTTTTTGGCTTCAGTAGAATAACACATTGCAGAAGATACTTCAAAAATCACGGGATTTGAATTATTCTCTTTTTATATATTTTAGAAACTGTTTGCTTAATTCGTAAAGACCTACATGTTTTTCAGCAAGACCTAATCATGACTACTCCACCAGAAATTCAACCTTGGATGTGTATTTACCGATCCCATCCTATAACTTCTTTCCTTAGTTCCGTAAATTGACAAAAGTGTATCTATCTGAAAGACCATATTATTCAGTGGAAGAGTTTCTTAACGAATAACTAAGAAATTACAGTACGTTTAGGTACAAGCAACTCAAAGTATTTTTATACATATTTGGGTATTAAATGCAGCATTAATCCATAAGGTTTTATTATGCAATTTGCAATTTAGTTAAATTTTGCAATGGATTGTATATTTCATTCTCTTTTAATTTGTGATATTGACGATTTATGTAGTTTTAGTAAATTTTAATTGTTATTGTTATTTTTTTTACTGTTTGTAAGCTTTTGTAAGCGTCCATGAAATTGTACAATTTTCAGTGACAATAAAGCATATTTCTATTCTATGTCCAAACTAAGTGCTTGGATTCAGCCATATCTTGAATTAAAGTTTAATGAAAAGTACTTTTTTGAACTTCAAAATTGTAAGTAACTATTTTTATTTTAAGGCAAGTGCAAGCGGAAGAAATAAGATAAAATGTCCCATATGTTAATGACTTGATAACGTCATAAAAGTTAATCCGATTAACCTCCCCGATTATTATCCTCCGAAAGGGATAAGGATTATATTCAGATAGAAAAAACAAACAAGGCGACTACCAAAAGGGCACTACACCGTATCTTTGTTATTAATCAACGTATAGCGACATACAAGATATCATAGCGCACTATGCATAAAACATAGATTTACTATAAGACAAATTTTGATTTATTGACTTAAATAAGGCCTCTGGTTGAGCACAAAATAAACAACTGATCGAATCCGAACAAGCGACATAACAAATGGAAGGGGACGAAATAACGAATTTATTAAGATAAATCAGAAAAAATTAATCAGTTTTAAGTTGTTACCAACCGTGGAGAAACGATGACGACTATGAGACCGAAGTCTGTTACTAAATGGCGGACACTATATTATAGCTTATTTATAGTGTACCGTTTTGTACGTCTCAAAACGTTTTATATAATACCAAAATAAATCTGCAAAGAATATTTTTGGTATGACGAAACAAAAGCATTTTAGTAGAACACCGTATGTTCTGGAATCTCAATGCGCTAGAATCGGACCACGTCCTAGTAAAAATATAATTTTTACCATTACTGCTATATCTAAAACATAAAAGTACTTCCAACAATGAACCTTACCTTTTACATTGACTGGAGTAAATGACAAGATTCCTTAAAATTAGAGATGCTGTCAGGCGAATACTTTTCGTAACTGGACCCTCATTGTCATCCTGTAAACAAGAAAAAATTAAAAATTACTACCATCTTTTTTCTTCGTTATAAAATTAATATGATGACACGAAAATTTTAATTTTTAAATTATTCATTTGAAATTAAAGTTGAATAAAAAAAATGATATACATGGAAAAAAGTTTTAAATGTGATCTTTCTAAGCTCTATAATTGAGAAAGCGGGGATGTAAATATCCACTTATCCTTTAATCCAATGGCAAATGAGGAATTACGATACGATTAAATGAGTATTACTAATGTAAATCACAAAACAAACAAGACATCAGTATAACAGGTGAAAGATGGACCAAACGTGAAAGTTGATCAGGAAAATAGTTTTTTTTTAACAAACTCCTAAAAGTAATCTTGTTTTGTGTTTTTGACATAAGCTGATAGCTATTTCGTCATAGAATTGTTGATTTTGGAGTGTTTGTCGCAAACAGAAATTATATCAAAATTCATTAAGTGCATACAAAATATGAACCTTCATCGGTTAAGTTCAAGATGATGAAATCAGTTAACATGGTATGCATGTCGATCAGAAAGACCTCCGCATATTTTACAGGAAGAAGTTAACATGAGAAAGCTGTATATAAGATGCACATACGTATGTGAAATCAATTTTCCCAGCAAATTTCTAAATTAAAACAACTTTGTCCATTTGAATTGCCTCTTATAGGAATTCTGTGGAAGGGTGACTCTGCACTGTAGAAAGCAAAACCAATTGCATCGACTGGAAACATATGACAAAAGTGTTTGTTGAAAGATATTAACAGAAAAGACATTAAAAAAAATCAATCTCTTTCACTTTATCAATAAACCAACCCTTTAAGACATTTTAGCAAGAAAAGAAAAGAAAATTTAGAAAATTAAGAGAATCGAAGTATAATTGTTGGAACATCCTGCCCATTTGCAGTATTTAGCTCCTTTTTTCCATATATTACTACAGGGGCTTAATGGACATTTTGAATACATTAGATAATAGCTTGATTGATAATATGCCATAAGCTGAATAACCGGGATACACCGAGATGAACTGAATAAATAACTTGTATAAGAGGAACGGCAAATCTGGCAACATTGCAAATATATATGAAATCTCAGTATCCCAAAATAGGTGTACCTCAAATTTTGTAAAATTATGACTAGCAATTTACGAGATAATTGGCCGTTTCCAGACTTTTGGGCCACTCTGTATCGTGAATTACTTGGTAGACAAAAGAAAAGAAGAATAACGAATGAATTTCACAGAAATCAGCTTCGATACGAGACCAAGAAGTATACAACTTAAAACGATTAGGTAAGAGAAATAAATAATAGAATTCTCACAATTATTTTATTATACCTTAGACGACAGGTTCCGTATACTATAATTTGCTAGGCATCGTCAGTTCTCCGAAAAGGTAACTTTAAATGCTAAAATATAAATTGCTACTATTAGGGTACTATCAGGTAAAAATATAGATTATGCCAGTATTATATGTGCACAGTTTTAAAGGTTCATAATTTTTAAGATTATATAAACGTTTTAATTATATCCCGATACAAGCAATGTAGTAATATCTACGTGGACGCACAATTAAATTATGGTTGGATGTTTTCTAATGGTCATCAGCTTTAATGCCGATGGCATTTCTACAATTGGCGAATTTTCTTATGCCTCCACGTAGATATTACTACATTCCTTGTATCGGCATGTAAGTAAAACATTTATATAATCTTAAAAAACTGTATACGTAATACTGGCATAATTTATGTTTTTACCGGACAGTATTCTAATAGTGACAATTTATATTTTAGCACGTAAGTTATCTTCTCGGAGACCTGACGATGCATAGCAAAATATAGTATATGAAACCGGGCGTCCAAGGTATATTAAATTGATTATGAGTAAGTCTATTATTATTTTTTCTCTCGCCTAATTGAAAGGGAGTTTCAATTAGGCGAGAAAGGAAAGGTGCAACCCATTCATTAAATAAAATGTTAGTTATGGTGGATGAAAAGGTTGATAAAAGGTGATTATTGTCGAGTTCTACAAAAAAGAAGAATAAAAGAGGAATGAATACCAAGAAGTCGTATAAACAGTTTTTAAGAGGTAACTGAAATTGATATTTTCTGTAATATGGAAATATATTCCGAAATATAATTAGAAAAGTAGCTCCAGCATCTAATAACTATACAAATATTGACAACTATATAAATGAAAGTTTAATGCAGTGAAAACAGATAAATGGTGAATGGCCCATCTGCAAATTTCACATTAGTGATCACATGGACACAAATTACTATCATGCGATTATAAATAAACAAAAAAATGATATGTGTATGAATGCTAATATGCACGTGAAAAAAACTTTTAACAAGCATCAAACTTATATTAGTTCACATGCAATGTTTCAATTGCTTGCATCGTATTTATATCCCACAGTATACAGGATATACACAAAAAGGTAGGTCATAAATTATACTACAAATTCTGGAGTCAAAATTTGCACACAAAAAAATCCAGATCTTTCAAGTTATAAATGCAAATCAATTTTTACAAATACCTGGCGAACTGTTACAAAAATTCTCACATGGCTTTCCTATGATCCGTCCATTTTCCAAATCTTAAAAAATCGAAATCTGCGCACTCTTGAGAGTTGTGATCACCTAAACGATCCATATATTTGTATATTTCACAATTAAATTATTATTAAAAACAAAAGAACATATTAAAACTTCTTTTTTTTTTTAGTAATTTGTATATTTGAATTTTAAAAATTATTGTGTTAGTCGAAAGATCAACGTTTTAATGTTTCAACTAATCCTTTTGTTATAGTGGACTGGAATCAAGGTTAATATGAAGTTTTTACAGGATGGCGTCCTAAAACTTTATAAAAACGAATTAAGGGAATATCTTTTTTGGTAGTATCTTGGACGTTGTGTTGGAACGAGTTTTGGTGCGCCTCTTTCTTGACCATTAAAAGGCCCAGATATGCACCCTATTGACTTTTTAAATTTTTGGGTGTTTACGAAAGATGATATTGTCGAATATATTGTCGGTATCATGTCGAATTTATGAACGAATAACAATTCATCAATAGAATTATTAAGCTGCAAATCGATTTCGTCAGAAGCCACCGAAAATATTCGGTATTCTTTTTTAAAAATGTGGCGACGGTGTGTTCAAGAAAATGAAAGCGAGTTTGGATATTTTTAGAATATATTACAGATTTTTGAACAGGTATGGAGAATAATACGGATTATCAATAAACATCAAGAAAACTAAATTTATGAGGATATCAAAAACCCAAAATAATGATGAAATCCTGACAATTAACGGTAAAACAAGTTAAAAACGATTACTCCAAAGAAATCAAAGTTCAAATAGGGAAAACAAGTGCAAACTTCAATAAAATGAGAAAGGTACTTTGTGCAAGAGAACTGAAATTAGACTTAGAGTTAGGCTGGCAAGGTGTTATATTTTGTAGGCTCTTGCTTTACGGGATAGAGGCTTGGACACTTAACGCGTCGACTACTAAAAAGTTGGAAGCATTTGAACTGTGGGTGTATAGAATAATCCTGAAGATATCATGGACCAAGCACATAACAAACAACGAAGTCATAAAAGAGTCAACAAAAGAATGGAAATATTGGAAACTATAAAGACATGAAAGTTGCAATACCTAATGAAAGATACAACATACTTCAATTAATTATACAAAGGCAAATCCAGGGCAAGAGAAGTGTAGGAAGGAGAAGAATCTCATGGTTTCGTAACTTGAGGGAATGATAAGGATGCACATCAATCGAACTATTCAGAGCTTCAGCATCTAAGATCAGAATAGCCATGACGATTGCCAACCCCCGTCGCAGAGATGACACGTAAAGAAGAAAAAATACCGGGTAAGAAACATTGAATAGATTTTTGGACCTATGAATAGGACGAAATTATTTATAACTTACTTTTTGTTGAATTTTTAACACTTAGTGAATTTTATTTAAATAACATAAAATTTATATATAAACCTTGCTCAAAATGGTTTCTTGAAAAAGTACACGAGAGAAAAAGTTTCTAAAACATTGTTTTAAACTAATTGTGCCACAACAATAATTTAATTGTAATAAATATTGCAGGGCTTACAGAATCACAACTCCCATGAAAATTTTATGGAGTACGTAATTTTTTTTGCCTTTTAAAAATGTTCATACATAAGAAAGATATTTCATATGGAAATCCAGAAGCCAACTTTCTTTGTGCTAAGACAAATTTGATTCAATACACATATTGGTGACTCCAGAATATGTAGCTAAATTTGCAAACTATCTTATTTTTAACACTCTGATTAAAAAAATACAAAACAACTAACAAAATAATTTCTATAAGGCTACATAATTTTAATATAATTAAAACTACCAATACATGCTACATCTTATTTAAAATAAACTTTTTTTTTTTTGTTTAAAATGGCTGTTCTGCATTTTAAGTGTTTCTCCTTGTGGCACTTTTGTATATACAATTTTAGAGTATTAGATACAAATGTCAATGTAAGATTTAAACAATATATTAAATAATTCAAATATTCGTCTGTTAATTGAAATTTTAACAACTTTGTGCATTTGGCACAAAGACCGTTTTTTAACAATTACTATGTACTGAAAATGACTTTTGAGAATAGCAAAAACGACATCTTAAGTATTTTGTGTTGGGCAGTCATTCGTTTGGGACGAAACTTTCGAAAACTTTTTTTTGGCCTCATATAAAGTGGGCAAAATTTGATGATTGGTTTCAATTAAATTTCGTTTATGAAGAAAAACTAATCCAATATGATATTATGTATTTGTTTGATAAATTATGGTTGGCAGCATTGGCTTGGTGTTTAAACATTTTTGTACAACGGGGGATGTTCAAAAAGTAAAGATACAATGGATGAATTTTTTTTAAGAAGAATTTACATCATTTTATTAAGAAGTGCCAAAAGTCGGCGAAGAAAGAAGTGAAAGACTCTCTGCCCCCT